GACAATCGACTTTTTACTGCTTTAAGTCATTCATTATAATTTTTAACGAAATAAGATCAATTCTGTTATCTATATTTGGTCTAGTTGGATCTATTTAATTGTCTGATTTAATCTTCAATAAAATATATTTATTGTTAGAAATAAAACGAGTATCTCAAAATATATTTACTTTTCATGTATTTTATAACTTTTTTTTTACAATTAACGACGTCAAGTTATACATACGTACAGCTTTTGATAAGGTTATCAAACTATGATAATCATTTTTTTCTTATTACTCTTTCTTTTAAACTTTAAATAAACGTTGAAAAGTAGTTAATTTATTAAAACCTACTAATCATTTTCTTAAAAGATCAATAAAATAGTTGTAAAAATAGATACTTAAAGTTAGTCTATCTTCTAGTAAAATAAATTTTTTCATGTCCATTCTAAGAAGAATTTCAGAAGTAGAAAAATTCATTGAATATAAAAGCATGTCTTTTCTTATATGTATAGTTTTCGAAAAAAGGTTCTTTTCATCCTTTTTGTATTAATCAACTAGTTAGTTATTTATGAAAAAGATTATTATCATATTCGATCATCATCATCAAAAACTAGATCTTGCAACTAATTTAATTTCAATAGGTGAACATTCATTTGTATGTTATATATTCTTAATCATTTTTTTTATTTTAATGATCTTTAAGTTGTATTATAATCGCGTTAAACTAGAAGAAACAATAGTTTTTATTTTTGAAGTTAATATTTATTTTATGTTCGATTCTAATATGGTTATATCTAATTATACAAATGAATATTCAGACACTATTATGTGATTTAGATGGATATAATTATGATAAATATGTTTAGAGAATACTTGTCTTCTGTTCTTGTTAGTTATTTTTTAACAAACATTCGTTATTCCAATAATTATTGATTATGTATATAAAAGATTTAAGAGCATAAAAATACAATTAAATTTTAGTAAGACTTTTCAATAGAAAGAAAATTTCTAAACATAGTCTAATCAGAAAAAAAAATAAACAGTGTTGGATAAATCAATCCACTTCTCGAATTATTTTTGTCATTTTTTCTTTTACTATTTATGATTATAAAGAATGTTAATAACAAGTTTTTCACAGTACGATGTCTTATTCCTAATTTTTATCCATAAAAATAAAATAAGAACAGTCCGACATACCATAAAATGACACAACTACTTTAGTCTAATCAACAAAGTAAAGACAGTAAAATCAACCTTTCTCTTTCATACAGTTTCACAAGACAGTAAAAAAAAACATCAATTATTATAAACAAAAATCCAAATTTACAGTTGTTTATAAGCAAAAAAAATACTTATTAACATTTAAATTAATCTTATTGCACTTCAAAGATGTTAAAATACAAATATTAATTTGTAAAAACTTTTGAATGATAGGATCTCATTAAAAGATCGCTTTGAGAAAATATGTGTTCAACGGGTGCTTATGTAGCAGGAATATACATGGTTTTTCATGCAAGATTATTAAAAAATTTATATGAATTTCATTTTTGGAAAGTAAGATCATTGGTTGAATCTTCTTGCTTCAAAAAAACAAACATCAACTTCTCCCAACACTGATTGTGGTGTTGAATTATCAACTTTTGCTTTTTTGAATGAATGACTCGAATCAAACAGTCGAGTTAATGATATTCAATTTTTGAGTTCGAGTCAAGTCAGAGTCTTTAAACAACTATGACTCGTATCTTAATCATGATTTGGACTAGTACACCTCTGGATTCAAAATTTTAAAGATGAAATAGAAGTATATAGTATTAAATTTGAATAATTTTCTGAACATATTTCTAGACTTTTTACTATTTGTCCCGCATTGTATATTCTCGTTGCATATCATTTCAACTTTTTTGGTTCTATGCTATACTGTCACTTATTCAGCCGATTTTAGTTGTTGTTTCCTTATATCCTCTTTGTGTTTGGCATAATGTAGCGTAAATACCTAGCAAATAGTGTTTGTACATAATATTTTTGAAGTTTTTTCTATGGCTTTTATCGAATATGTATTACTTTTTACTTTTATCTATATACATTTATACGAAAACAATCAAATACAAACAATAAAAAGACTTCACTAACGAAATTTATTTACTATTCGTCATATTCTTATTATTATCGATATCTTAATTATTCTTGAAATGATGAATACTTATGAAAAGACCAAAAAGAAGACCTTGATACAAGCAGTACAACGTCGACAACTACATTTTATTGAACATTGTCTTTGCTAACGCTCAAGTGAATCTAACAATATGTATGTTCTTTATATGGCAAAGTTCAGCCATGAGAAACACAACTGAGATCAATCACGTCTAAAATTCCCAGATTACATCACAAGACTGATCAACAACTAACGATGAGATCAGGCAGGTTATTGCAAACAGATAGAATCAGTACAAGATTGTTGCCACTTGCAAACTTCGTCTATTTGCAGTTCTGTGATAGATGAAGAACATCGTCTCAGCTATCGCCTTACATACAATTTGATTGCCATGTTTACTATCGAATTAAGAAGAATTTTAATGTTTATTACTCCTGAGCTAAAAAATTATTTGAAAAAATTTTCGGGTCTCCGAACAATTGAAAAGTGTACAGTGGACTCTTACCATTGACAAATGTTTTATCGACAAAAGTCTTATTAACAAAATTCCGGCCACTATCCATGGTTTTACTATTACATCATGATGTAAATAAGACAACTTTAATTGTTCCATGAATATATAAAATATATTTGTCGGAAAAAAAATTCACTTTTATTTGTTATAGTTACACAAATGCGAAGTTTAAGCTAAAGAAGAATAATAATAAGTGATCTCTGATAAGTTAATAAAACTGATAGTGAACATCCACAAGAATAATAAGCTTGAGCTAGATGCGTGAGAAATCAATGAGAGTAACAGAAAGAGAAAAAGACAAAAAGAAAAAATTGAAAGACCAACAGAAAAAAGAAAAGAAAAGAAAAACGAACAAAAGACAAGAATTATTCGATCACAGTTTTTTTGTTTTTATAATAATAAAATCGATATAAATATTCAAGTTTTAAGAATAATAGCTTCTTTATCCGTTAGAGGATTTGTATTATCAATAGGAATAATGTCATTTATATTTATTAATTTTTCATAACCACGATGAGATGGACGACTACCAGTACGTGAGGCACCAGAACGACGACCTTCGACAACATATGCCATTAACTTGAGAAAAGAAAAAAAATAATAGAACCGACAAATACATTGAACAAACAAAAAAGCAATAAGAATACAAATGTAATAAATAGAATAAAGAGAGACACAGATATTAAAAAAAGACGGACGTGTTTTTTTTTTTCGTTTCATCTAAGAGGACTGTGATAAACGTTGATAACGTGCTGAACTCGAACTTCCACCATGACGACGTCCAATTGATGAACGATTTCGTCGACATCCTTCGATTAATAAACCCAATACCTAAAAGAAGCACGAGATAAAAAAAAACAACGTCCGCTTTTTTTCTCCTATTCTTTCTCTCTGTTATTTCAAACGAAAAAAAGAAATCAATTAGAAAAATTAATTTCTACCTACCTTGTTCTTATTATGTAATACCAAATAACCAACAACAACGAATAAAGTAAAAACAAGAAAATAAGTTACAAAACTGCCTGACCATCCATCATCATCAGTATATTTTCGAGATGGTGCTATTTCTAGAAAAAAATTAATTTTTTTTTTTCAATAAATTTAATTTCAATGAACAAAAAACCTATTGAACCAAAGCAACGAGACTTCTATTATTAAGTATTTTCACCATATTCTAAGATATGAATCAATGTTACAGATCAATATAACAGTGATAGAAAGTCTTTGAGTTGCAAATATTGAACTATGGAAATGAAAACAAAAAATCTTCTGCTTCAAGGATCTATCACTATGCTGAATTTGAGAACTTTTAACGTTGACGATTTCTACCTGTAGTGATACTCAGGAACATTCGATTTTTACAATAATCAAATTTTCTAACTAAAATTGATTAAAAAAAATTCTGTACAACTATTCTTAAATAATTGATTTCTGTAAGAATAAATCGATGTTGCTTTTTTATAGTCTAAACAGAAGATAAAATAACGAAATGACATTGACTTTATTTTATTATCGAGTAAAGAATTTTTTTAACAACTTTTCGATAGGCCAGATTAGTCTTCTTTGGTTCTGCTTTCAAAATTTTGACAAATAATTAACAGAGAATTTGAACCGATTCTCTATTATCGACATAACATAATTTGATATGACACTGCAACTCGTATGATCATTACTATCTTCTTTCTTTGATGTTTCATCTCACAATTGAAAAAGGAATGGCTACCAGGTCTCAAAATCGGTTCACTTTTTTATGGTCCGTCCCGGACCCGAAAGAAACTTCGTTTACAAAGATTTTTTTTTTCTCAATAGACAGCTATTTCAGATTTTTTAGCTTTTATAAAAAGTGATGGCCAAGGGACGGGAAAATATTTCGTTGGGTCAGACGGCCCGTTTCGAGGTCTGATGGGTACGAGACGAAAAAACCGATTACTACATTATATTCCAAGCTCTAGTTACATTTATGCCTTATAACATTCAAGAGCTATTTTAAACTTTGTTCTCATTCATATTTCGATCTCTTTTATGTAAAATAAACTCCATTATAGTGGAAGACGCTTCTTACTTGATCCTGTTCTTGATAGTCCGGAACCTAAAAAAAAAATAAATGAATTCTTCAAAATTAGAAGTCTCATATAATAAACATACTTGGAATTTTGCTATCCTTTTCTGGAACTTTTTCTACAAAAGAAATTTTTTTTGTTTGTTTTAATCAGAAAAAAATATTCAAAACAAGGAACATTACCAACAACGTTTCTATCTTCATCAGTTGGTTTTTTTAATATCATTCCATTTGGACCTACATCAGTACCTAAAAAAATTATAAAAAAGTTTATTTAACAAAAGAATTTGTTGGATGTTAGTAATATTAACAAGGAACTAATATAATTATATAAGAAAACATAAGTTTAAAGCATTCCTCTGAGTACAACTTTTAATAAGATTCATGCATCAGCGTTTTATCCAATGTGAAGGTGTGAAAATGATGCTTTTCTAAAAATCAGGTGTCCCCTTTCCAAAAATATAACTTGGATAAAACACTGAGATGCATCTATATATTGATATGCAAGAAACAAAAAACATGCTGTTGTTTCGACTAAAACCTTGATATTCTGCATCTTCATCGTTGTTAGGTGGATCTCCTGTTTCGATCTGTTGATCAGGACCATTATCGGTGCCATAATCATCTTGTGATTTGTGTTCATTATCTTCTACATTGAGGATAAGAAAATAAAAAATCTTAATCAAAACAAACCTGCTTTTCCTTTATTATCAACAGCTGATTGATAATCATTCTTATCAGATTCTTTTTGTTGCTTTTGTAATTGTTTTTCAGCTTCTTCATTTTTAACTTGATCTTCATCTGAACCTTCATTACGATCATCGGGTTTAGCTTCATCACCATCATTTTTATTTTTGTCTTTATTTTCTAAAATAAGAAAAAAGTAATATTTAAATTCAAGGAAAATATTTTTTGGTTTTGTCTTAAGATTTTTAAACGACAAATAAATCTTACTCTCTCCATTATATCTATTGATTTCAAGAGAATAGATTTTAATTGAAGAAGAAGGTGCATTACTCAGCGTAGAAAGAGTGCTTGTGAGCAAATCAAGAGTATTCGCTGTTTTATGTTCAATCAATGGATCAGAAGAAGTAGTAGAATTGATTAAAGATGAATTTTTTCTATTTTCAACAAGTTTTAATTGATTATTTTTAATTAATTCAATCAATTGAACAAGTGATATGTTATATTGTTTCATTAAATTAGTTAAAGATAGAATTCTATTACCAGATTCGTTATTTTTATTTGAATTTAATTTATCAGCTGATAGATAGATAGATAGATTTTATTTTATTTTATTTTATTTTATTTTATTAAACTCACCATCTTCATTAGCAAGATTGGATGTTTTATTTTCGGTTGTTTCTCCGACATCTTTTGCCTTATCAACAGCTTTAGAATTACGAATAATGAAAAAAGATAAATGACTAGAAAACTACTTACTAGATTCAGTTGTTTTGTTACCATCTAAATTTTAAAAAAAACTATTTTTGTAGGTTGATTAGATTTTTTTATAAAATCTTCTTTGATTTAATATTACTGTGTAAAAATGTAGAAACTTGTTTTTCTCCTATAATTAAATTCAGTTTCGTAAAAAGTCTACTTTTTATAGATGGAAAATCATATTCGATTCAACAACCAAATCTATTCTCTTATCTAAATCAACTTCATATTAAATGCTCTATTCCGTATCAACAAATATAATAAATTTCAAAGATTTTTTAGTAATACAATAAATTGAATCTAGTTATCTAAGATAATATAATAAACCTTAATGAATAAAATACCTTTTTCTTCATCTGTTTTAATTGATAAATCTGGTTTTAGAATTTGTCCAACTAAAATAAAAATAAAAACAAAAATAAAGGAAATACAATAAAAATTTCAATACATTGTCCATTAGTTTTTGTTTCCTTGCCGTTATTAACATCGTCATCATCTAAATAATTTATTTTTAGTCTATTAATTAAGTTAAATAATAACTTACTATCAACATTATCTGTATTTTCTTGATCTTTTTTCTTTTCTGATTCTGGTGTTTTATCTTTATTTAAATCTAAGATCTTCTGCGACTTATCATCTATAGAATAAACTTTGGTGTTTTTTTCAATAATTCAGATGAAAACTTACCTGTTTTTGGCGATAGTTCATTGGTTGCATCTTTCAGCAATTTTGTTCCTTCAGTAGTTTTACGAACTAACGATTCCTCTCCTGATTGTTTAGGTTTTTCAAGACCACCTTGAGTTTGATCACCTTATAAAAGCAAAAAAAAAACATAATTTCGTTTTTTGAAATCTCGTTTTGCTGTACCAGTTTTATTAGTTGTGTCTGAAAGAGCGTTTGGACCAGTATTTACTTTGGCCTTTTCTCCTTCTACAGTTTGATCAGCCTTGTCTTTTGTGCCCTCACCATTTTGAGCGGTCTTTTCTTTTGTACCTTCATTAGCCTTGTCTTTTGTACCTTCACTAGCCTTGTCTTTTGTGCCTTCATCAGTTTTCTCTTTTGTACCTTCATCAGCCTTATCTTTTGTGCCTTCACTAGTTTTTTCTTTTGCGCCTTCACCAGTCTTGTCTTTGGTACCTTCACCAGTTTCAGCAGTCTTTTCTTTTGTACCTTCATTAGCCTTATCTTTTGCGCCTTCACCGGTTTGACCAGTCTTTTCTTTTGTACCTTCATTAGCCTTGTCTTTTGCGCCTTCACCGGTTTGACCAGTCTTTTCTTTTGTACCTTCACTAGCTTTGTCTTTTGTGCCTTCACCAGCCTTGTCTTTTGTGCCTTCACCAGTCTTGTCGTTTGTGCCTTCACCAGTCTTGTCGTTTGTGCCGTCACCAGTTTCACCAGTCTTTTCTTTTGTGCCTTCAGCAGCCTTGTCTTTTGTGTCATCGCCAGTCTCAGTTGTCTTTTCTTTTGTACGTTCACCAGCCTTGTCTTTTGTTTCTTCTGTAGCTTGGCCAGTTTTTACTTTTATGGTTTCGACAGATTGACCAACCTTATCTTTTAGTTCTTCTGCAGTTTGAGCAGTTTTTTCTTTTATACCTTCGCCAACTTTTCCAACGTTTTCTTTTAAACCTTCGCCAACTTTTCCAACGTTTTCTTTTAAATCTTCGCCAACTTGTCCAACTTTTTCTTTTAAACCTTCGCCAACTTTTCCAACTTTTTCTTTTAAACCTTCGCCAACTTGTCCAACTTTTTCTTTTATACCTTCCCCAACTTGCCCAACTTTTTCTTTTATGCCTTCACCAACTTTAGCAGCTTTTTCTTTTATGCCTTCGACAGTCTGAACAGCCTTTTCTTTCAACCCATCGACAGTCTCGTCAGTTTTTTTTGTATTAATGTCAGAGGATTGTTGAGCTTTTTCTTTCTCCGTTTGTGCTGTATCAACAGGAACATCTTTATCATTCTTGACGGCTCCCGAAGATGGTTCTGTTAAAACCTTATTATTTGCATTTGATTGAAGTTTATCTAACAAAGGGAAAAATAAATTGATTCATGTTAAATATAGGCTATTCACAAAATTAACAGTGAAAAGAAATTTGTATCATTGTACGTATGAGTTTTCGAGTTACTTTTCAAAATGATTATCAATATCTTTTAACTTTGAGAAATTTAAATCATCTAGGTTTTTTACATTTTTATTTTAATGTATCATCGTATTAAGGAGACTAATATTATAAGTTGTTGAAATCAGTAGATAGTTGTTACCGAAAACAAAAGATCTAGACAACTCAAAATTCGTAGAACCAAAAGCTATTTTTTATGAATTTGAATTGTCTTAATTAAGTTTGTTTGTTAAAATAGAAATTTGTCGAAAACTATCTTATAAAAAACACCTTCTACCATCGAATATCCTTCACGCCTATATTAATTTTAATTTAACAATAGATTTGATGTTTACTCAAATAACCTGAAAGTTTTATTGTGAACGAACGTCTTTTTTCAGAATATTGAAATTTCAAGTTCAATTCTTTTAATTTCGAAAATATCTCCCTCAAGATAACAAGTCTATGAAAATAGACAACTCTTCATCATTAGATCATGAACTTAGATCGTTTTACATTTTTTAAAATATTATCTAAATTTGTTCATAGGAGACAAAGAATTTTATTCTCCATATTAATTATGAATGAATTGATACAAAGGTGAGAAGAGTATAAGAGGTCAAATCGACCCAAAAGTATTTTTCTTGGGCAACTCTATTGAATCATATATCAACTGAAAGAGCATGTTGAGACTAAAATTTTGATCGAATTTTGAAAGGTAAAAGCTATCCACAATGTGGCTCTTTTTTTTTTAGTATTAGTAAATAAGACAATATAGCACTGAAATTGTGAATTTGCTAGATGTTTGATGAGGAGACCTCAATATCATATATAAATTATCAATTGATTATTTTAATTCTATGGGATACAGATTTGATATATTGATAAACACTGTTACCATATTTATCATCCATACTTATCTTTCAACAAATATTTTAGTTTAAAAATTGAAATGATCAAAACTATTGTATTGTTCATTTGATAGTCCTTTTAAAAAGCTACAAATTATATACTTTCTCAAGTCAAAAAAATCTGGCTCCTAAGCACACCATTCTCTAGGAGCGGTTCGATGATGATATTCGGAATCGGCCAAAAATTCTAAATTGATCTAGATGCAATTTGAAGAATTTCTAGAATTTTTTTTCGTCAAAAACTTCCTCTCAGGGACCAGATAAAAAAAATTGAACTTAATGAAGACTCTAATTTTATAGACTAGATATCTCCCATTTTGCTACCTAATAACTTTCGAGGTTTATTTATGATGTTCAAAACGTGTATTAACCTAATTTATTTTTCATCTGGTTCCTTAGGAGAACCTCGGGCAAAAACTGAAATCTGATCCTCCATCATAAGATCAATTATTTAAAAAAATTGACTAAAAATAAGACACTTTGTGGATAACTTTTAACTTTCAAAATTCTGTTAACCCTTTTCGGCCCATAGCTAAACCAATGGACAAAATTTCTT